ATACTTCAGTCACATTTGAAGTACTTTTCACAGCTAGTGTTAGGACAGAAAAGAAAATGACTGTGATGCCTTAGGAAGGTTATTAGTGCATGATACTCAGTAAACGTAACAATATTTCTCATCCATCACAGATGTGCTAGGAAACAGCAGGCAACTTCTTTGGGGAAATACCTCAACATGACATGTTTTATTTAACCACTGAATGTTAAAATTGTCCCATACTCAACTGCTGTTGAGGCAGGATGGAAATTATCCCACAGTGATATGCCGTGCAACTTAAATTGTAGGTTCTGGCAGCTGTTTAAACAAGCATGAGATTATGAGCCACAGTAGATGAAGACAAGGTACTTGTAATGAAAAGCAACTCACAAATCTTACGGTTCTTTTCCACTGCTGCAGTATTTGCTCACATGAGGAACCTTTACTCCCAGAGTAGCCTGATGCAAACTGAGAGCTTAAAGGAAAGCTACAGAATAGTTCATGGATTTTTGCCTGCAGCTCTGGTTATTGTCTTGCGTGGGGCCTCTTTAGGGCAATCAGCTGCACAGCAACACCCACTTTTTAAAAGTAAAAGTGGAGACAAGACACCCTGATCACCCCTGAAATGGGGTGAAGGCAACACAATTTGGGCAATCATGGGCATCTTGAGACTCAAATTCTCACAATTCTAACAACTTAAAAACATCAGCAGATTGCTGTCTTGAGTTTTCCTTGTGTGAGAAGAGCTCCAGAACTTGCAAGTCCACTTCCTTACTGCTTGAAGCAACCTATAATCCAAAGGGGCTTCAGAACAAGTTTTCAAAGTCATGGCCTCAGGTGATGAGACCTGGGGGATTTCATCATCCAAGGCTAGGGAAGCCCCTGGGCTCTGCTAGCCATGCCAAGCAGCAAGTAAGGTTCTGATGAAACGTGCCAAAGGAGGCCTGGACAGATCTTCAGCAGCTCTTCTGGCCCACAAAGGCATCTGTGGGCAGATGTGGGTTGAGAGACTTGTGGGCAGCAAGTAAGGTTCTGATGAAACATGCCAAAGGAGGCCTGGACAGATCTTCAGCAGCTCTTCTGGCCCACAAAGGCATTTGCTGAGGAACAGATGCTGGAAGAGCTGCTGTCTAAGCAGGGAAAGGGTTGCACTTACACTGCTCGCACAGACATGAGTTTTGAGACTCATGGTGAGAGGCACTAAGCTGGGCAGGTGGCAGAATCCCAGAGGACCACATGGCCAACAATGTGCATCACACTCCCAACTGAGAATCAAATGGGTACACCCTGAGTGGTGGTGTGTTGCAAGTGCTCTACTAATTGACTCCTGGAGACCTGAACCTCCGACAGCAGTGTTCCAAACATTGCCAGTTTGTGCAGTTATGGAAAATTAAATTTAGGCTTTCACATAATTATTTTTTCATGTTTTGTGAATGAAACTTATTCACAAGCCTTCTGACATAGTGTACCAGACTCTGCATAGCTTAGTGACTGAGGCTTGGTAAAAATTTAATAGATTTGGACTTAATGAACTTGTACAAAATGGTTTTTTACTCAAAATTAATTTATTTTAAATGCAATCTTGGTCTAACGGATCTAATTGGATAATAGTGTGGTCTTTAACTGCATCATCCATTTTGTCCTTACTGTTCACTTTGTGGTTGGCTCAGGACAACAAAATTGGAATCTGTACAAAAAACCTACTCGCATCAATCCTCATTTACAGGAGAAGACCAAGCTACCATTTGTAGGCACTGCATGCCAATCCTTACTTGACAAAGTCATGCAGAGAATAGAATTGTTTTTTCTCAATGTCCTACAAAATTGATCAGACACACAGGAAAGAGACCCAAGCTTCTTTCCTCTTTAATCTCTGCTGTTTGATGCCTCTGGATACACTGTGCTGACACTCCATCTTTCTTGCAGAGACAAATGTGCACTGAAGAGATGAACTAATTGCTCCAGCTCACAGGAGCTCACATACTTGAGGAAACAAATCTCAGATATATTCTGTGGCTCTTCATAAGTACAAAAAGCTAGAAAGCATCAGGAATAAAGTGAACTAAGAAATAATTAAGTTAAATTTTTCTAATGGAATTAACTTTGAATTGTAGAGGACTATCTGGTGATGCATTATTGTGCATCTAAAAGCAAGGGAAGCCATCAAAGAGGAAGACAAGGAGTTAGTTTTATTTCTAGATTAGGTTTTGGAGCAATTGGTGCTTTAGTTTTTGTTCAGCAAAGGCAAGTCATTATGGACCTAGGGACAGAAGAGTAAAGTGCTATTTGTTCTATGTAAAAAATGACATACATATTTAGAGTTTCTATCAGAAGGCAGCAAAACCCCTTGGTGACAAGTCTAAAAGAGACTGTGGGGAAGGGGTTTTCTATGGAGCCCAGAGGAGAAAGCAAGGACCAGTAGGCTGTGTTGCTTTGCAACAGCTTGCAGTCACCAGCCGGGAGTGGAGGACACAGTTGAGATGATGACAGTAAATAATCAAAGCCATCAAAGAAAAAGATCTGGAGGATCTTTGTGGGTGGGTAGAAAACAGGAATGGGAGATCACCCCTATGTCACAAATGACTTTAATTACTGTATCTTCCTCAACCTCAGACAGCGACTGACATGTAAGTCCCAGGAGCTAATAGCTCTGGGAGCCATGGATTGATTAGAAGAATCAACAGAGTGGAAAAAGTCTTTTTGGAAGAGAAAGAAAGACACCAATTCTTCATTGCAGATCACAAATAAAATGTAAAAAATGAACTATTTGTACCAGCTACAGGTGGGGAAATTTCTGGAAAAATTACTGATGCCAAGTATTTTTCATATTTGATCTAACAGCAGCCTGCTGGTAAGTGTCACCAAGGAGACAGCATTGCTTCGTGGGTTACTTCTATGACCCTTGCTTGTCACTTACCAGAAGACAAATTAATCTAGAAGGTGTAGATCACCATATGGCCACTGCAGTGGGGAAGGAAGGAATATAGAGATTGGAACAGTGAAAATGTAAGGAAATCTACCCGTAAGTTATCCATTGCGGTCAGAAGTTGGAGAACCCTCTGATGCAAATACATCTAAAAGGAAAGGAATCAGATCTCTGCATTTTCTTAAAGAAACCCTAGTCCTGGAGTACTGCAGGAATGAGCACAGAACTAACATTGAACATATACTATCATGGGTGAGAGGTTTACAAGTTCTACAGTCAACAGAGCAAGGATGAGCCCAGTCCTTCAGGGTTGACCTACAAATTCATGCTGTAGGTCAGAGCACCTCAAGACACTCAGAAATGCTGTTGAAAATTTTAGTTACCAGAATATTTACAGTCATGACACTTTAAAGGGGAAGAAAAATAATCTGGAACTGTTCCTTCAGTCATTATTGGCTTGTTAAAGGAAGAATCGCTGTTCTTTGCCAAGGCCCCTGTCAGGCTACGCTGATAACAGTCTATGCTGGTATTCAGTCCCAGAAGGAAGATGGTCTCTGTTAGGCTGTTTTATTAGGAGAGATCTCTGACAATGGGTGATTTCCCAGCCAGTGCATTGTTACGTGCATGCCTTGCAGGGGCATGTGGAACAGCCACACAAGGTCAAAAATACCAGAATATTTCAGTATATCTCAAGGCAGAAGATTTCTGCCAAGCACAGGGATGATTCCTCAAATCATTAACTAGTTCAGGACAAATTCCTCTGACACCAAGTTAGCAGAAATGCATGAACTCTCCTCTGGTTCTGATTCTGCTCTCCAGCTGTTCTTTGGTTGAGGGTCCAATTCCTGAACTAGGAATTCAGTATCTCACCAAAGTGGGGTGTTCTTTGCAGTTCTTCTCTGTTCTCCACAATCTCATTCAATTCTTTCTTTTTACCTTCTTATATCCGTCATTCTCTTACTGTTCTCTACTTTCCTACCCTCATTTTTATCCATATAAATTTATATGGCAAACAGCATTGTGGGCAAGTTATACTAGGCTGAGACAAGAGAAGGGAAACAGCCTGAGAAATAAATCAGGGAGACCAATCTGTAATGTTCCCCAGTGTGTCTTCTAGCCCTGTTTCTACAACTTACAGCCAGAAAGGATGGGAGTTGATGGCGAGACACACACAAATGTTCCACATTCAGATGTTGGAAAAGAAGATGGGAAGCCAGAGGAGCATAAGTGGCTAACCAACAAAACACAAGAAGAATAAGAATCAAAATTTTTTTCAGAACACAGAGATAAGCAGTGGGGCAATGAGGTGGCATCCAGCGTGCAAGTTGCTCGTACTTTACCGAGATAAAGAGGTGGTTGTTCCCAGTAGCATCATTCATACATATTCTGACCATACTATAACTGGGTATCTGGGCCTCAGTTATATATAATTATTTATATAATATTTTTATATAATATTATGAAATTATAATTCTATAATAATTGCTAATAACTTGAGGTTTCACAAGTAGACACCAGAGAAAGCATTCAACTTATGTAAGAAATAGCCAGGTAAAAATGAATTTACTGTACATTTAGAACAAGTTACTCAGCCATGTCGCATACATTGAAATATCACAACTTATTACAACATTATTGCAATATTGGTATTAAACAGGTGAAAATAACATTCGAACTAACTAAACTTTATACTGTTATTTTCCATTTCAGTTGCTTTCCTAATAGTAGAGTAACTACGATGAAATTTGACAATTACTTAAGCCACTCTAAGTCCCACACAGCAATATTAAGATTTCAAGCATGTAAGTTTCCATGTGACTGATATGTTGCAGCCTATAAAACACAGAAATTAAAAATCACATGCATTATCTTCTTCAGACATGCAGTTCTGTCTCACCAAGAAACAATGATTTCAAGTCCAAAATGTTATAAGATATCTTATTTAGAAACATTATTAATCTTATTTTAAAATTTATCAGTAAGGGAACTCATTCCTTCAGCAGTGCAGTATCACAAATATAACTTGGTAATCATTCTTCTGAACATCACCACAATTTGTCATGTATCATAAGCAGTTCAGTTTTCTCATACTTACAAGTAGAAGGATGATCACTAAGAAGCAACTGTGGGTTGTTTTTTTCATTGTGGAGTTCTCCTGGGGAGACACGTTGTAGCTGACCTTTCTGGGAATTATAAACACCAAAAATAAAAATCAGTGTTAGATTTTATCTGTCAGGATGTATTTCTTGCATTTACATATAAGCATTTTCTTACACTTTTAAGTAGAGTCTGTGTATGTTCACCACCAGCCTTGAGTGTACTCATATTTGATTTCACTGGAGGTCTGTGTGCTTATGATTTGGTCTCCTCCATGGATCTCTGGTGGTAAATTCAGCTGATATGTGGTACAGCCCCATGTTACTATGGCGCCAGCAGCAGATCTGTATTAAACTCCATGTCTTTGCCAGATGAGGCTACATTGGCTATCCTGATTCAGTTGCTTCTAAACTACACATACAGCTGCAGACCTATGAAGAATCTGCATATTTTTAAAATGAGCTAAAACTCCAGAAAGATCCAGTTCACAGATAAGCATAGTGACAACTCAAAAGGCTTATTTATGAGACTAGAGAAAGCCAGAGGTTGGGTAATCACTAGCTAGGTGAATAAGCAAGTGTGCCAGGAAAAGAGAAACCGGGATCAACACTGTGGAATTAGCTCGTATGGGCTGTGGATGGACACAGGGCAGTGTAACCCCTCAGGCTGTCAAGAATGACAGCTTCAGCTGCACGAAGTGCTGCACAGAGAGGCAGAACATGGCCGCGACTCCACAGGCTTGGAAATAACTGGATCAGAAGCTTTTTGGTTTTCCATTTTTTAACTAAATCAACACCCATCTGGCCTTTCTAGGAAGAATATCCAGGGGCTGTTATGTTCCACCATACTGCTTCACAGTTTCGGGAGTACAAGCAAACAAAGCTCTTTGCACCAACACATCATCTTTCGTTTCATAAAAAATGGAACTTTTGCATTAGAGCAAGAAACAGGGCTTTTGTCAAGACAACAGTGTCTTCTGATGTCTTATGGACAGCTAGTGGTGCATGGGCTGTGCAACATGCCTGCAGATAATCTTCAACCACAATAAGACAGTGAGCAGTCACACAGCTTTATTTTTCAGGCAGTCTAAAAACAAAGAGTGGGGAGTTTCCTACTTGGCCAAACAACCCTGTGAACACCTTGCATATCTGAAACCCAGAAATTTAATGGGGAAAAGGCACACAGACCTGGACCCTTAATCTACTTGGTATGTAGTGAGCAACGCAATCGCTTGTGCAACAGCACTGTAACACTTTTTCTCATCCTGAAATGGTCAAAGCAGATACACATAATCTTAAAATGTAATAAAGGTGTGGCAGTTCATTGTCACCCAAGTGGATGTAATCTCCTACCAGATCCAAATAGGAGCATTGAAGCCATGTGTCACTGAGATTACGTAAAACACAAAGTAATGGAAAAGAGGGTTTGGAGGATTTGCATCTCATAATAAGTAGTCTTATTACTGTCTGAGCCTTGCCAGAGGTAATGGGACAGCCAAATGACACAAAAATAATATGTAATTATGCTATTGGCCACATTTGCATTTGATCACCAATGGTAGACAACTCGATTGAAGCAAAATTGGACAGCTAGATCAGAGCAAAATGCGTGGAATTATCTGCATCTTCTTCAGACTATTCACTGCAGTGTGCATTGGTTCCAAACTGTCAAAAAGATTCATGAAGATATAAACAATGGGTCTTGGTCAGCTGTGGAATAAGCAGACATAGAAGCAAACGTATGGTGTTGCTACAGTTACAACTGTACTGTAAAGTGTTCTGTTGTGTGCTGTAAAGTGTTCTGTAGTGCGGTGTAAAGCCTGTCTGGTGGGTGCCTCTATTCTTGCTGGCCACATTATTTCTGCCCCACCTACAGTGATTTAGTAAAAAGCAGGCAAAGGAAGGACTTTCCACAAATGGCACAGAGATCCACACAATACTGTGACCTAGAAAGCATAAGCAAATCAATATTCAATTCAAGTTACCTGTGATATGACTAGTTTTCCTGTACTTTGTGATAGGAGTGTTTGCAGTGCTCTGTTGGGCTACCGCTATAGCTGCAGGTAAATCTTACCCTTGTGAGATTTTTGTGAATATTTGTTACTATATACTGAAAGAGCTATTCAAAATGTTTCCTGTTCCATTGCTCCTAATTAAAAGAAAAAGAAAAATTAAATAAAAATACTTACTACATTATTTTCCCCTCTATTAACTCTAATGACAGTGCCACATAATGTATGCATGATACTACATACGAGTAAATGAGCAAGAAGTATTTCCCGTGCTAAATCTTATAGAGTCTTGATATTTCTAGTCTTTCTTTTCCTTGCCAGGTCTAGCCACAGGAATGGCTGACATGCTGCATAAAATCCAGCACCTCTTTTTCCTTCCTCTCTCACAGAAGTCTTTTCCAGTGACAACAATTGTTGAACAACAGTGTACTAACAAACCACATACAGAGCCCCAGACTAAGAAGTGGCTTTTCTCTGCTTTAACCATAAGGATGACCCGTAATACTACAGCACGCTTGAATTAGCACCAGTATTGAATCAAGGATGATGTATTAATTGAAATGAAAAGGTACACGCAGGTATGAAGTGTTGGTCAATGGTCAAGGCAGAAACAGGGAGGCAGAAAGAATCTCGTAAAAGGGAATCCCAAGAGATGGACCCTGTCAGCCTCCGGATGGAGGAACAGACCAGCATCTTCATGGCGCTGGCCTTACCTCCAGCAGTCTATGTTCAGGTTTGATATGACAGGCAAGCTGGGATGTACAAAGTGGTACAGTCAAGTGCTCTGGCTTTTGGGTCTTTTTCACTTACTGTGAAATAAATTTTCAGCTACACACTTTTAAAATAGAATGCATTTTACCATTACAGATGGAAGGACAATAAATTATAATCTTTGAAAGCTGTTTTATGCATAGGTATTTTAGATGAATCTTCATTGAAGATGTTTCAAGGTATGCATGAGTTTTTCCTAAGATTATGCTTATTACAATAAATTAAGGAATTATAAATAATGTACTGACAGTTCTTGGAGTCACTGGAGCTAATATAAGAATGATTATTATGGGCATTTAATACAGTTTACAACTACCCCAAAACTTGTTTCACTTACTGAAGTTGCCAAGCAGGTTTTAGGTGCTGTCCTGATTCCTGCTTCTATGCTATTTATCCTTTTTCCCTAAGTCCAGTAATGGCCTTGCTTGATATTAAGATAATGTGCTTCACACATTTAAATTTTAAAACACCCATATTTAGTGATTAATCATAAGCACACTGCTAAAGCCCAGTACTTTTCCATGATTGTATTAATTCTTCACCCTCTGTTGCTTATAATAGTTCTGTATTACATCACTGTCTGTTTTTTAAACTAGAATATTGTTCTTTTCTTTCTCCATAAATGTAGCATAGCTCATTATGTGCTAAGATATTCCTCCTGCTTGAGCTATTACAGTAACATCACTGACACCTGGGGATTAGTCCTGAAGCTCATCTGAGGATGAGCATGGCATCACATTTAGTAATGACATCTTTTGGCCCTGCCTCTGTTTCTATGGCTGTAGTCTTAAGCTGAACAGGACTTCAATTACAGTTACCACTGGGCTACCCAGAATGTGAGACAACTCTCCCTGCACAGCCATTTGCTCAAGGCCAACAAGGAGAGTAAAATTTAGCCAGAAAGAAGGGTATAAGGGGAAGATTCAAAAGAGGGCAGTATAGCAACATTTCTTCCCTGAGGTCTAAAGAATCTATAAGAAAGGCAGGCTTTTTTTGGAGGAAGAACTGGAAAAAAGCTTCTCATTTAATTATTCTGCTCTGATAATTCTGCAATGCAGTCTTTCACAATAGTGCTGACATACTTTTGGAGGAAGAAATGGCTTTAACATTGCAAAACATGACATGTGGGGGGTTGTGGCTAAGCACACAAGTGTGACGCAAAAATCTCTCTTTCTCAGTCACTATATTCCCCCCAGAAACTTTTAAAATTCACTTTCTACCTCCTTGTTTGGCTGCAAGGTCCTTAGAAGGCTTCTTTTCTACCTTGTGCAGCTTTCTCAGGGTGAAGAGCTGTGTACCCACCTCTCATCCCAAGGTGTCTAGGATTTTTTAACTGGTGGAGGGGCTTGCAGACCCTCTTAGGGACTGCCTTGGCACTCAGTACAGAAGAGCACCAACCTGCTCTGCCTGCATTAACACTGGAGTGGGAAACAGGGCACAGGCACCAGGCAAGACATGGGAAAGCCAGCAGACAGTGCTGCTGAGCAATTAGGGAATTTGGATACAAGGAGGAGGTTGCAGGTCTGTCTGCATTGCCAAATGTGCAAGTAGTCTAGGGGAAAGTATTAAAATTGTCCCCTCATTCCCAGATGGACATTTTACTCCAGGTTCCTAATTTCCTGCCTTTGGGCCAGGAGTGAGCTGGTCATCACACTCCTATAATCCCAAATTCTTTGCAGACCAGCACTGTAGCTACAGCCCCTTCAGGCAGAGGGAATGCCTGAATGCCAGGCAGAGAGTGTGATTCCCATGAGTGATAAGGCAATAGAGATAGACCTTCCTTATTCCCAAGCACATGCTTTAGCCATTAGCCTGCAATGATCTGCAAATGGTTTAACTCCATGTGTCTCTACACAACCACATTTATGAAGGAAATGGTGAGGTCTGCTCAGTTCTTCCTACTGTAAAGATGGTTATTGTCAATGCCAGGTAGAGAAACATGGTTCCCTCCAGCCTCTAGTCAAGTACCCAGAAAGATGAGGCAAGGTAGAAGACGTATTTAGTGGCTTCTACTCCTGTGATCCCTATTGGTTAGCTTTACACAGTTCCTTGATCTTTTGCCTAACCCTTCAGAAGTTTTCATACGAAAATCTTAGAAATACAGGTTCCAAATTCTTAATTTCAGGTGTCAGACAACTAAAGACTGCTACATGAAATTTGCAGGCATCTAGGTCACTTGCTGCATCTTATCTCATCCCTTTTGGTAGTCTTGGAGATAAATTTTACTATCAGGGAGCCAAATGCTGTATTGTGTGATGACTACTCAGCTGTTACTCAAGCAGATCACCATTAATTTCCAT